GGGTCTACGGCAGCTTTTTCTTGACTACTCTAACTGGTCATACATATGAAACCTGTTCCATGTACATGAAGCCCAATAGCATTTATTGTCAGTAGCCTTCAGGTGATACATATCAATTACTTCTTGATTCTGTAATTATTTTGTAAGCTCCTCTAGGACAGGGACCCTGTCTCATTCATCTCTGTACCCTTACTTCCTCACTAGGGAAACAATGAAGTAGAGCCATATATCACACACAGAAGAAGAAACTCGATAAACATTTGATTAAGATCAAATTAAAGCTAAATGGTATTTAGCATATGCCAAAATACTTCAGACATCTTAGGAACTCAATATGTCTAGCTGCTTTGTTACCCCATGCAAGATAGATAGGCATAGTCAATTCTCTAGAGGATATCTTTATACCCACAAAGAAATAAACTCCAGGGATGATAAACTGTAGTTATGGACAGTTTTAGGGGGTTGCAGAAGATCTCACTGAGATCTTCGAGAAACCAGTAGCTAAACCTGTCCCGGCTGATGTATTCAGTCAATTAATGAGTGCTTACTACGTACCAGGCACTATGCTAAGTGATGGGGATTACAAACCCCGCCCCCCAAAAAAGGGCAAAACCATCATCCTCTCCTTCCAGGAGGTCACACTCTGAATGAGACAACATGTAAAGAAGTTAACCCTTCCACATCTCAGGAATTAGGGGCTCAGTATACTTATGATCTGGAAAATCCACAAATTTTTTTGGCCCTCCCTTTGTAAAATGTATAAAATTATGCATATTATTATACATATTTTATATATGTATGTAAAATGATTTTGGTATTCAATAAATCATTAGAGGCAGTATGACATCATGGTTCTGGGGGCCAGGAAGACTAGCTCCATCTCTTTTTTTGGGGGGGGGGCTAGGCAATGGGGTTAAGTGACTTGCCTAGGGTCACACAGCTAGTGAGTGTTATGTGTTTGAGGCCACATTTGAACTCAGGTCCTCCTGACTTCAGGGCCGGTGCTCTATCCACTGCACTACCGAGCTGCCCCTAGCCCCATCTCTTCAAACCCTATCTCTAAAATAGTCTGGCTGCATGACCCCAGGCAAGTAATTCAGCTTCTCAATTCTCTAGGTAATAATCTAAGACTATAAGGTGAGGAGAAGGTGCTTGACTCCATTGATGGAGGGAGTTGCTCACAGAGTACTTCCTACACCAATGAAACTACACGTTTGGTCCCAGTCACTTATCTAATGGACCTGTATTTCTACTACATGAGTGAGGTATCAAAAGTGAAAATTTAGTAGAGGAAACAGAGAGGATGAGTTACTACCCAAAGATCACTCAGCTAGTTGAAAGGAAGAGGTACATGAACTTAGGTCTTCTGCTTCCCAGTCCAGTGTCCTTTCCATTGTTCTTTTTCGACCGTATCTCTGATTTCATCAATATGGAAAGCTTCCAATAGGGAAAGGCACTCCCTTCACCAATGGAGATCAATAGTTTGCAACTTACAGTCCTAAAAAGTTACAGGTTATTGAGAGGTTAAGTGACTTGTCCAGGGTCACATAGTCAATCTGCCAAAGGCAAGACCCAACTCCAGATATTTTTGACTCCAAGGCTGGCTCTCTATCCACACTGCCTCTCTTTTTCCAATACTCTATAAAAGTCAATCAAGAAAATATCAGCAACTCCTGACCCATATGCCTACTTTCCCATCCCTATATGATTTTAATGAAAACAATATATATGTGTGTGTGTGTGCGTGTGTGTATATACATATACACACACGCACACACACACACATATATATACTTCCCTACACCAATGAAATCACAAGTACAGGCATCTATATCCATATTGATAAAGGTATTGATACAGAAATGCCCACATCCATGCCTCAAGGTCATTCTTGATGAAGGCATTAGCAGGGAACAATCAGGCTTTTGCAAGACATATTCCAAAGTAGCTGTACAATGGAAAGGACAATGGAGTCAAGAGCCCTGGGTTCAAATCTCACCTTTGATGCTTACTACCTATGGAATACCTCCCAGACCTATGATTCTGTGTCCATTGTCTTGGACACAATTAGCCTGGGCCTCAGTTTCCTGAACTGTAAAATAAGGGGGTTGGGTTAGAGGGCTTTTGAGGTCCCTTGCAACTCTAGATAACTCTGCTATTTTCTACATTTTTACATTTCATAAACTAGAGAAAGCTATATCTTATGTTTTTTCCATGAGATAGTTAAAGAAAATTATTAACTGTAATACAACTCCACTTAGTGGTTGCCAGACACATTTAGCTTACATGAATTTCGTGACTAACTTCATATACAATAAAGAAGTTATTAAAATGACTGCTAATGGCTGCTATGGAAATTATTATATTTAATAAAAACCCAAGACAATTTATAACTTGAAGACACATTTTCATTGTTGTCATTATTAAATTCTGCATTATTTAGAGTAACTATCTTTTAAATGCATCGGCTCTTAGGAAATTTAAAACAGTTCACATGGAAAACTCCTATCATACTACACAAATCAGAAATCAGGTTTTCATCAGAGCAATATAGTACTAATACTATGAGAAAATAATCACAGTCTAAAACTGCATGGGTTCAATATTTCCAAAAATCTGTTTTATCATAGGTGTGAATACTCCCTCTATTAATGCTGAAAGACACTCTTCAATTCCTTAGTAGACAGTTTCACAAGTCACTGTGCTAAAAACAAATTAATCACCTGCGATCTTAAATTCTGGATGTATTAGTTTTGTATTAATATCTTTCATCAATTTTGTTTTGGTACAATTTTTTATAAATTGTCAAAATAAAAGTTGAAGGAAGTGTAGGCGAGACAGAAGACTGTTTCTGAACAGAATACTAGATAGTGTAAATGATTTGAAACAGAAAAAATAAATAACAAACAAAAATCTCTCTTAAGCATACAGTTGTTATTATTTGTCCTTCATTTTTCAAGAGTACCAATGACATCACTGGTGATGTCTTTACTTGTGGGTGAACTGGATTTAAGTGTGAATTGGATTTAAGAGAGGCAGAGTTGCACAAAGTGGTCAGCTTCACTCTCTTCCAGATTCATCGAAGTCCAATGACAAGACAAACGTCAAGGCAACTGGCGATGGGCCAGGATGCAGCTGATGACCTTGACGTCTTCAGTAAGCAAACAGTAGGATGAGGTTGCAAAATGATCTTAGGCTCTTATGTGCCTACTTCTTTAGCATTTCACTCTATTGAAAGACATTCAATATTTTTAAGGCCTAAAATTTAAACACTAGGTGGAGCCCCTTTCCCAAAATCTAGAGTGGGGAAAAAAAAAGGCAGATAAAAATTTAATACAGCCTCTGCTCTTAAGATACACAGACATGTCTTCCAAAGTATTTTAAAAATTAAAAAAGGTATCTCTAAAAATTAACTCTGTAGTTTTATCCATGAGAGTACCCTCTCCATCCATACGAATTGCAGTCCTCTATTCTCATTCACTACAAAAAAGGAAAAAAAAAACACTTGTCCTAAACCTAGTGCAACCGAATAGAAAAGAATTTTCTAAGTAATCTTGAGAGCTAGCCTGGTGTAGTAGGTGGAGTAGATAGAGATTCAGGCTGAATTAGGATATCCTAGGTTCAAGTCCATCTGACACATATTGGCCGTGTGCCCATGGTCAAAGTCATATAACCGAACATCATCCCTAGCTCACTGTTGAAGATTTTAAGTTACGGATCAGTTAATTTGCATTAGAGGAGAACCCCTGCTCATAATTTTAAAGGCATCTTGGCACAGTGAAAAAGGAGCTGGCACTTAAGTCAGTGGACTGGGTTCAAATCTCACTTCTGATACTTAGCATCTGTGTGAACCTGGACAAGTTAATTAACCTCCTTGAGCCCCAGTTTCCTTCTGTCTAAAATGAGGTTTTAGAAGGACCTTTGAGGTCTCTTCTAGCTCCAGAACTACAGTCCTATGATTTCCTCACCTGGAGTTCCCTGAAAATGAAATCATCGGTCCAAAGGTAAAAAAAAAAAAAAAAAAAAAAGCTAATACAAATTCCCTTACAAACATTTCATTTATTTTGTGGCCAAATCAGTTATTTGGGAGCCTATAAAAATGTGATAACAACTATACGCCCTGTGAATTAAACATGGAGTAACGAATACTAAGATGTGGGGGCAGTTAGGTGGCACAGAGGATAGAGTTCTGGCCTTGGAGTCAGGAGGACCTGAGTTCCAATCCAGCCTCAGATACTAGTTGTCTGACCCTGGGTAGGTCACCTAACCCTATTTGCCTCAGTTTCCTCATCTTTAAAATGCACTGGAGAAGGCAATGACAGTAACTCAGCCAAGAAAACCCCAAAGGGGATCACGAGGTGTTGGGCATAACTGAAACAACTGAACAATAACAACAAATTTCTACTAGTAATAAGTGCAGAATCTTCTACACCTGTATAATTTTGAGCAAGTCTTTCAAACTCTGCGGGCCTCAATTACAACGTCCACAAAATGAGATTTCTGAACTAGACAATCTCTAAAGCGCTTTCTAGCTGTAAATCTTAGGATACTATATGAACATCTTCCAAGGCTCTGTTCTTGAAATGGCCAGTGTAGGTGAAAGAACAATGGATAAGAGGCTACTTATTACTTGTGTGTGACGTTGGCAAGGCATCTGACTTCTCTGGGTTTCAATTTCCTCATTTGTAAAACAAGGAGGGTGGAGTAGATGACCTTTGAGGCCGCCTCCAGATTTAACTCCATGGTCCTTGTTTTTACCTAGTCTAGAACAAAAGCAAGTTATAATCAGATAATACAGATAGTTGCTGGTGCTTAATTAAAAAAGGACTCATTGAACTAAACAAACCATGTAATTGGTTATAGATAACGTAACTAGCAGTTAAAAATAGGCTACCACAGCAAGTTGGGGGACTCCAGCTAAAGAAAGAGATAAGTCCTGTGAGATAATACCACCCAACTTGGCTATCACTCATTGCAGCCAGATAAAACCAACACTTTACCTTGCATAGCATTATGAAGTCTGTTCTCTCAGTGGTATTTCAGCTTGTTTTCAAATCCAACCTGCTCCAAATGCAAAGTGTAGGCAAATAGCAGAAATAACTCTTGCCCAATTCTTAAATGCTTTTGCTGACATATCCTACAGTAAAGTGTCAGATCAGTGGACAATGAAGTTGCAGTGGTGTGTGTGTTTTCAAATTTTATACAAAATTTTAGACAAGGAAAGAGGAAGATTCTGCTGACAGCCCAACTGTGTGGCAGATTAGTCAGTAACCTTTGAACAAGTACAAATCACTGACCTCACTTAACTCCTCTTCCAGAAAGTCCAAGAAACTGATTTAATCAAGGTTCAGATAAGCACAAAGATAATTTCCTCTAACCTAAGAACTTAAATCCATATATAGTCAGTGATCTAGCTGTGCTTAAATCAATTAGGAAAAACAGCATTTCTTTGTCTGCCTCCTACTTTTCAGATATAATCCGAGTTTTCTCCTCTCCCCACCATCCTAACACCATCTTGCCAAACACAGCTGAATTCTAGAAACAAAGCTAGTTCAAGTGAAGAAATACAGGCTACAGGAGGTTAAGATGGTCTCAACATATGATTTTATCCATTTGTTGTTCAGTTGCTTGTCAGTTGCATCCTGCTCTTCGTGACCCCTATTTGGAATTTTCTTGGCAAATATACTAGAGTGATTTGCCACTTTCTTCTCCAGCTCGTTTTACAGATGAGGAACCTGAGGCAAACAGGATTAAGTGACTTGCCCAGGGTCATACAGCTATTAGTAAGTGTCTGAGGCCACATTTGAACTCAGGACTATATCCATTGCACCACTTAGCCACCCTTCATCCATTTAGGCAAATCCCAGTGTGGAAACTCCTTCCATCAAAGCAGACCTGCAACTCATCTGTGATTTGTAGTTTTAGAAAGCTGCCTGAGGCCTTGAGACACTAACTTATTGGGTCTTGGTCACACATAGTTCCTTTGTTAGTACTTGAACTCAGGTGTCTTCCTGGCTCCAAGGTCAGCCTTCTGTTCATTATATCTCACTACCACTCAAGAAATGGAGATTCTTAGTTAATGATACAATTCATTGAAATCTAAGTAGTAAAAAGCACCACCTCTGGTTCAAGTTTTCAAGTAATTTATCAATTAAAAGAACTATTTTATACATTGTTAGCCACTTTTTTGGCCATTATTGGGGGGGAGGGTGGTTCTTTTACAACCTTTCCTATAAACAAACAAAAAAATAAATCACCCAAAACTTTGCTCTTCACTTCCCATGATCTCAAGGTAGCACTCAAAATGCTACAAAACCATTTTAATCTTTCACTGAGTTTTCACAAAGCCTGCTAATTCATTTTATAAATTTTAAAAAAGCAAAACAAAAAACAAAAAACCAAACGTTATACTCTTATTTCCATACCCAATGACATACTATAGTAATATAAGCAATAGATTCTGGGGAAGAAAAAAAAACAATTTGAACAATTTGAATGTAAAAATAAATCCAGTTAGAAATGTCACTATATATAAAGAAATTAAAGTATACTCTCCTTCTTACCCTTCCACAGTACAATAGCTTCTGAATCTCCACAAGAGGAAAACGGCTAATATATTTTCCAAATATTTTAAATTGCATACTTCAGAACTGCCATAAAAAGGGTTGTCATACCCTTGAGAGAAAAAAAAATATGGCATTCAAGTAATTTTAAAGATAATTTTCTTTAGCTAACAATCTATGCTCTGTCCGCCAGGAAGCCCAATATTTGATGAATCAATTGTTTTTCATTTTGCTGACTCTTGGTATTGGCCATGAGAGCAATTTCTTTCTAAACGAAGTAATGTTTAACCACTTCCTTATCACTTACACTGCCTCATAAGCATAATTTCAAACCTTAGTCATGGTGATTTTTATATGCTTAATGTTTTTTATTGCTAAATCTTTGTGAGAATCAAAAAGCCTTATTCTTCAAAACTCTTTGCTTCAGTAGTTGAAGATATGAGTGAAAACAAAAGAACTGCAGAGGCAATTCAAAGAATACAGAAGGAAGGAAAGTGCTTGGGGAGGAGGGGCGGGTATGTATAGAAAATGTTAAAAGGCAGGGTCACTTTATTTTAGCCCTCGTCTCCTTTAAAGACTAACACAGGAAGTAATTTGGGGCATTAGGTCTAGCTTCTCCAGTACAATCCTACCCCTGGCTAGTGTGGTGATAATTCTAGTTTCTGAGCCCAATGCTCTATCCATTGCACCACTTAGCTGCCCTTCATCCATTTAGGGAAATCCCAATGTGGAAACTCCTTCCATCAAAGCAGATCTGCAACTCATCTGTAATTTGTAGTTTTAGAAAGCTGCCTGAGGCTTTGAGACACTAACTTATTGGGTCTTGGTCACACACAGTTCCTGTGTGTTAGTACTTGAACCCAGGTGTCTTCCTGGCTCCAAGGTCAGTTTTCTGTTCATTATATCTCACTGCCACTCAAGAAAGCAGAACCAGGACTTAAACCCACCAAATCAAGCTACCTTCCCTAAACAATGTATAATCTGTAACTGGTCCTACTTCAAGCTGAAAATGCTTTTGTACACTCTGCTGATAGAATGTCACCACAAAACTAGCCTGAGAGAAGAGCATCATCTAGCTGAATTCTTTGGGTAGTGACAATTCAAAAAATATCATCAGCAGTGCAAGAAATATCCACATTGATGACATCACAGATCTTATTAACCCTTGAGGGAAAGTATAGTTCCTATCCAAGCACCTCCTGAATTATTTGATAGACCCCAAGGTGAGGAGACAATGCTTTGTGTGCATAAAGATTATGATTCTTGGGGCTGTGAACTGAAAGAACATTTTTGCAAAATTCAATTCAGGGGCCCCAAATGTCAATGTCTTGTTTTTTTTGGACTTCCAGTATCTATAGAAGTCAAAACTAGAAGGGGAGAAATAGGGATAATGACTTCTTTAGGATTCACACTAGCTCATAACAGAACAGGACTGCCTTCAGAGGCTGAAAGGTTAGTGATAGTGCAGATTTGAATAGAAAATATTGGCAGAACTGAATAGAGAGGCTAGTCAGCGCAGAAAATGAAAAGGAAACAGCAGCTAGAAAGAAGGTGAATGATAGACAGATTTGGGAATTCTATCTGGAACAGCTTTCAAATAGTGCAAGAACTGTTCTTTGGAGGTTGAAAAATACATGACCTATTGAGACTTACAGAGCTGAATGGGATTTACTTGCTCAGGGTGAAATTTTATCTAATTAAATTATTCATATTAAGGAATAAATCTGGGTTTAGAGACCCCTTGCTACTTTCATTTCCTCTTCTTATCCCACATTTCTTAACTTTATCATTATTTTGTTCACTTCTCTCCAATGACTGATTCTACCATAGCTCAGTCCCAGTCACTCCTACATTTACCATCACTTGAAGTTATCTTATCCTTTCCTTTTTTGGGCTTTAGAAGAACAGCAACAAATTGACCAAAGGGCCTTTTGTCCGACTACATCTAAGGCAGAGTTTAATATGATTTAGGAAGTAGAAAAGGAGCAGTAAGTGAAGCAGCCATGATAATTTATTCAACAACCATTGATAAAGTACTTCTTGCAGGCAAAACATTGTGTAGAGCGAGATAGAAACATAAAAATATGGCCTCTGACCCCATGGAGCTTGTAATCTAACAAGGTAAGATGGGACTCATTCACAAATATGCAATTACTACAGTGCAGGATAGAACATAATTAAAGTTATGAAGTGTTATGGTCAAGGAAAGAAGGATAATTTCTTACATTGAGGTTAGGAAAGAGTAAATGGGAGTAGAAAATAAGAGAGATTTCAAATCAACAGAGAAAGTGATATTTGAGCAGAGCCTTGAGATATGGGCAGGATTTCAAAAGGCAGAGGTAGAATGGGGTTACTACAAGTCTAGAAGCAAATCACAGAGGTGAGGATAGTGAATTGTAGCATAAGTATATATCATGAGATGAACCTAGAGAAAAAGGGAGGCCCTGGGTTGTAGAAGGCCTTGAATGTTAGGCGAAGAAATTGAGACTTTATTCAGTGGGCAATGGAGAGCTAAAGGTTTAAGGAAAATTATTCTTGCAGTGACAAGAATGGATAGGAATAGAAGTCTGCAAATGGGAGAATGGCTAATCAGAATGAAAAGAAGAATGTTTTAGTTTCATTTTCCTCCTATATTTCCTAACCTAGATGGTTAGAATCCACCTTATCTCAATTAAACTATATTGACAGAACAAGTTTAGCAAAAACATCAATATCTCTGGCAACCAGAGTGATATGATTCAGGGTCCCTAAGTACAATCAGTAACATATAACTCCATGCACCTTATGTTTCTGACTTTTGCCTTCTGAAAGAGAATAACTTCAGTGTAGAACACCAGTAATAACAACAATATAGAGATTAAATTAAAACATGGAGGACCCACGAACTTGAATTATTAACAGGTATTAAGAAATTCTGGGTAATTCACTGAGACAATGGAAACTAAAACAAAGCCATCTTCAAAGGAACAAACCAGAAATAGAACACAAAACGGCTGAGGATAAGACTTTGTGGGTATCAGACACAGGGGTTAGGCAGCATTCATTGATCTTCTACCATGACTCTTCTGGTTTAGTTAGCAGAAAAGTAACCTGAAGTTTTAGAATCATTGCAGAATGTACATGGTGAACCTGTGGGAAGTAGGGGAGGGGGAGGGGGAAGAGGGAGGGAAAGTAGGGAGAAATGAAAAGAGGGAAGAAGAGATAATGAACAGGACTACATGTGAATCCAGAGAAAAATAAACTTCTAAAATAGGAGGACTTTTATTCGTCAAACTGAATAACTGTAAAAATAATCCAGCAGCAAAAACAATTGGGTAGAATGGTGGTTATGTCAATTCAACTCAAGGACAACACAATAGATTAAAATGTGCACCTAAACAATTTATAGGGAATAAAATCATCTGAAAATAAGGATTTCCAAATTACTTGTACTAGAGTAGAAAATCTTACAAACACCACTACCTAATTTCATAATAGCATTCAATATAATTTTAGAATCTTTAGAAACAGATTGCAACAGCCAATGTGTGTGCTATCAGTATATGAAATTGTGCCACTTCAACCTGCTAAGAAAGGGATAGAAGAGCATGAA